AACCTAAAAATTACTATTTTCTTGCTCTAAGTGACGCATAATACGATCATTTCTCTCCCCACAGCGATGATTACTTGGGTTAGTGAAGTGCCAGCAACCTCTTCTTCAGGGTGAAAATCGTATCGAGGACGTGGTCACCTCAGTACCCCCCTTCACATCGGGGTCTTGATACGACCCCTCTAACTTTGATTTGATGTGAATAAGCGAGTTCCATCAATGTAGCAAAGGTTCAGTTGCAGCGCGGTTTATCCATGGGTCAGAACCGTCGAAATCTACACTTTTGATGGAAGGTTTCAATCCCCCATTTCATAACCTTTGAAGCAGTATGCGGTAGGATTAGAGGCTCCTTGGAAAAGCTCACTGGCGGTGCGGACGCGTTCGCGTGCTGACGACGTCACGGCGCCGGCGAGGGAGCGAGCAAGGGCTAGCTCTGCCACCATTACTTCAACACATTGTGTACTCCGAGAGAATATCGTACCCTTGCATCACTGAGTAGTAAATGGAAGTAAGTAGAAGTCCAACTCTAAGCGCGGATTCAGTTTTAAAAACTTCAATATGAATGTACCAGTTTTGCTCCGCCCGATATCGCGCGCATCACACGACCTAAGGTTCCGCAGGCTCTCCCGTATCATTGAGTCTTTTATGGATGAGCATGATAGCGTACGAAGCTAAGCTGGTATATTTATCACACATAGCCCTGTAAACACTCAGCATTTTTCCTGAATTCTGATAATTCAGCGGTGAATAGGATCATGCTGTTAGCCTCAAAATAAAAAGGCTCAAAAATCCTAAAGTTTAGCGGTCATCAAATGAGTTCTGGCCTTCTTGGTATTAGATCAAGAATGAAATGTACCATTCGCCAAGAATCTGCTCAAGCTAAGCTGGTTATATCGATAGAATGTCCACGTCACATCCCACATAACACTTGTGAGTAAGAAGACCCTAGTACCAACGTGCACTGCGCAACGGAATTGACGACTTTTGCCTTTCAAGACTCCTTCTCTTCAGCCTCTATCAGTGCCATCATTGTTGTTACCCACCAACAATGTCCAGGTACCTCACTAACACTTGCAAAAATGAACGCTCAAGTGTCAACGCCAGCTGCGCAACTGAATGGGGACCTTAGCGTTTGAAGGCGCCCTAACAGCCCTTTATCAGTTGTTATCATCCCTCTTCACCCACAAACAATGCCCCGGTACCACCCCACACAACACTTGTAAGTATGAACGCTCTAGTGTCAACGCGAACGCTTGGATCAAGCTCAATGTCAAACGAAGGAAGAATAATGAAGAAAAGCAAAAATCAAGAAAGATTAGAAGAAAAATATTCAATAATGAAAGAGAAAGGAGGAAAGAAAAGTAGCTCACGAATGCGCGCGAAGCATTGGATGC